TATTCGAGAGAATATCTTTTATAGCGGAATTTTTACAATAAGCGTAGATTTTCGGTTAATATGCAAGTCAAAACCTTGGCATATTTTAATATAAAAAAAATTAAGGAAGCTACTCGTTTAATCAACTGCTACACTTTTAATTACATTATACGCTGAAAGTAAACATTTATTAATTGTTGGCAATAAAAACTTCCATAAAACCAATGATTTATTTGCTATAATCAAACCTAGTGAATGTTTCAGGAAATTATTTCCATCTTCAAAACTTTATTCTCATCTTTCATAGCATTTAATGGCTTAATGTCTTAATTAAAAGTTTTTGTATAGTTAATATAAATAATATCTGGAGCACCACATTTATGAGACTAATAATTGGGTATCTGCTAGCTATTTAGGAACGTAATATTTATATTCCATTTGTTTTATACTTGGATGTTTTTATTGCCAACAATAAACAAAAATTAAACAGCATCCCAACAACAAAGAAGAAAATAACATTTGTATTGATAATAAGGCTAAATGGATTAGTTCTAATTACGATGTGAATTGAAAATCTGCTCTCTAGGAGGCAAATGAGGAATTTTAATGTAACTTGATTATCATTTTTGCAAAAATGAAACATAAACAGAGAGCCGTTGTTTTAATTTTACTCAGCGCTGGCTGTTGATTTTACAAAATGAATTGGAGAGATCCGCTGAATTAATGCATCCCGTATCATGTTGCGTTGTGAATACACTGATGGCTGAATTATCCAATTTTCGTTTATAACAGAATTATTTTGTGCCAGTCCCGGTCATCCAGGATTTGTCTCCAAGCGGATAATTTATTACAGCTCTCCCTCCCCCCCATGGGTCAAATGCATTCAGAGACTTCGCCCAGCTGTAATGCAGCGGTTATTCCATTTTATGTTGGAGAGCGAATCCCGAGTGTAATCATAATACTGATTGGACAAAGATGATGGAGTAGATTCTCAATTCAGCCGGGAGCAGTTTCATTTCGAATCATTAGAATTGTCAAGTCTGCTACAAGAACGATGAATGTTGCGTGGGGGTGTTATAGAATCTTTTGAACATAGAATTGCTTCCCAACTTTACAAATAACATAAATATTTTGTAAATGATGAATCCTCTGGTGTTTTCTTCAATTTAATTTAAATTCCCTCAGTTACTCATTGTAATTGTTTTGAAAATCAAATAAAAAAATATTTATTTTTTAAACATTTTTAATTGAATGATATTGCATACTGTATCAATAAAAAACAGTAGTTAGAAAAGAGTACATTTGTACCATCATTAAATAAAATATTAATAAACTAACGAATAGCTATAGAAAAAATGTTGTTTCACTAAGAAATAAATGTATACAATTCTACATTACACGATCCTCAATCCTATGGATTCATTTCAACCCTGAGAATTGCTTTTCTATCTTCATCCGTCGCTCCATACCCTTCCCACTATGGAATTCCGTTTATTCAATCACTTTATATCCATTTTCTAGTGTTGCCCAAATGCGAAGCCGAGAAGAGTATTGGTATTGCATACTCATTCTTGGTCATGGTATTGGTCTTGCGCAAGAGTCTCGTAAGTGTCTTGCAGTTACTTATCAGCTTATGACTATAGAGATATTACTGTAATTGTTTAGATAGGAGAAACCTAACTAAGCCCAAATGAAAGGTTAGAGGAGTTAAATGCAAAATTATATTGGTTATACCAATTATTTACATATCGTAACTCAGATTTTCAATTATTAGCAACTATTTTGCCTTAATTTTTATTTAAGAAATCGATTTTTTTTTTACCAATCTTGATCTTGTTATTGCAATAGTTTGGCGGCCTTGGTCTTGGACTTGCAAAGTGTAAAACCAAGACCGATTTTGTGCAACACTACCGTTGTATATAGCCATTCAGGCCCATAGAGTCACTAAAGATTTTCTTTTCAATTTATGAAAATCGATATTGATGGCACTGTTTCCATTACTTTTTTTTTTTTAATTTTTAAATTATAGTTAATATTAATATATTGTAATTATTATAAACTGTGTAGCTTTGAATTACATTAGTATAGCGATTAGATTAACAAATTACTAATTTCAAATCTTTATAGATTACCTTGTTGTTAAAGGAACATTAAAGGATTCGGTGCGAAACAACCTTTTTATCATAATTACATTTAGCAATGTAATATTTGTTACATATTTATTAACTTGATTATTTTTTTGTTACAGGTAAGCTTTCCTCAATATACTTACTGAATAGATATAATAGAAGACAAAGACAGGTATTTCATTTCTTTAAAACATCATTGTGATTACTAAATTTTAAATTATTCTTTGTCATTATTTCTTCATATCATCTCGAAAAATCACTAAGGACAATGTCTGGACCTAAGCATTAAAGTGCTATATTTCTGAAAAATGCAGCAAATATATACAGGAATAAAGACACCCACTTATCAAAAGAATAGCGTTTTCCTACAAGGGCTGAGTGATCTAGATAGGGATATCATTCATTCGATGTTCAAATTTATAAAAGAATCTAAAATAAACTAAAAAAATAAATAAATATTAATAATTTATATCCGTATCTTAGTAATTTTATAATATCACAATGTGCCGAAATATATATTTTAAAAAAAGCTTAGATGGAAAATATTGTTAATTAATAAAGACTAAAATCGATATTTTTTTTTAAGTTTCCTGAAGTGTAAGATTGTAGCACAGAGAAATGATAACACAAATCAAGACCAATCGTGTTATCAAACTGATGAAACATAAATGGTAAGCATTCTTAAAAAAACTAATTGTCTATGCGATGATTCCATTTAAATCAAATGAAGATTAATCTAAGAGAAAACGACGTCTTAGAAAGACATTTTGTAACAGATGTAACGAAAGATAATTTTTCTCGCAATTTAAATTAAATAATTACAAATATTTGAAGGAATTCTTAATCACCATAGCAGTAGTATAGTAACTAGTATAGGAATAGTATAGTAGCAATATTTACTAGACAGGTCTTTGATAGCAGTGCCCTGTTATCCAAACCTGGGCGTAACTGGGTAGCTTAGGAAATAAAATCTAGGTGTGGCAGAATGCCATTGTAGGAAGGATCATGAATGTGAAGAAAAAATACGGTGTATTATATGTTTCGTAAGAAAAAAAAAAATAGGCCTGAAAGGCAATCTCATTCAGATAAGGAAAACTGGAAGGAAATGGGCTGGACGTGTCCTACGGTGCAAAAACAATAGGTAGTCTAAAGTAGTCACGGAATGGACACCATCAAACCTAAAGAGGAAAAGAGGTCGACAAATGAAGAGATGGAGTGGTGCATGAAGATCTGTGGTGTGTCTCCTTTGGGGGAGAGCTGCTAGGACAGGGATGTCGGAAATCACTTACCCCGTTTCCTTATTGGGCTGTAGTTCGACAGCAGTTATTTGGCAGCTTGAAGGCGAACTGCATACATATTTATATATCGACAGATGATGTAATATTTTAATGTATGTATGTGTTAGTAAATGTTTTGTAAGTAATATCGGTGTGTTAAGAAGAAAAATAAAAACACAGAGTTAGTTTTAATTAGTCCCGCATGAGTCCGCCCTAGGAGTGAGAGAAGTACTGAATATTAAAAACTTAAGGGAAGTCCTGTGCACGAGGTAGGAGAAAGAACAGAAAAATTTAACTAAAAATTAGAAAAAAGTTATTTTTATAAAATATACAATGGTGAAGAAATTGTTGACTTAACTCTATAAGGCTGGGAAGTTGGTTAAGGTTTGCTGTGCGAGAGAACAGAGAACAACTAAGCCGACATTTCGACTTAGTTGCAATCCTTCATCAAAGCTCCTACACCTAGCGGGTGTTTGGATTGAGTGGGTCGTGAATCCATAATGGTAAAGCAACTTTTGACTGGAGACTATATGCTTCGCAATTGCGGTCAGAGTGATCACACAAATAAACATGAAAAACTCAATTCAAACACAATTTGAATATATTGAAGAGAAGATTGGTTGGGGTGTTCATTAAAAAAGGTGTAAACATAAATATATTATATTTATTTTTATTTTTCTTGATGTTTCGGCCTGAAATTCAGGCATTCATTAGGGCTGAGAAAAAAACAAAACAGATAACAATGAGTTTGAGAAATTACATTAAACATTTAAAAGAAAACAATAATATGTAGGTGAAAGGTATTTTCTAAACTAATATAAAGTATATACTATACTCAAGTAAAATAAAGTGGATAGAATAAATTTAATATGAAATAGAGTAGGTAAAATAAACTTAAAGGAAATATGAAATAACGATAATAAAGTTTTTTTTAAAATATTTTTTTTATTGAATAATAATACAATCAGCCACTGTTAGAGGGCTATAAGTATTAAGGCTAGAAGTTCTCATTCATACAATATATACAAATAATAGAAAAATAACTATAAATATAAAAAAGTAACTAAATAATACTGATAAAAAAAGTAAATAAATAAGAAAATACAAACAAACAAAATAAAATAAAAACTTCTAAACACATTCATATCTTTAATAATAAAGTTAGGGATTGAAAACATATATATATATATAAGATAAAATAGAATACATATATACTAACCCATATATAAATTTATATTTTATTGTAATTATGTATGTTTCAGTAAAATATGTTTCGTGGATAGTTACTTTATATTGAATAAATCCTAATTTATTGTATCATATTTACCAAAGCATGAACTCCTAAAATGTATAAAAATAGAACAAACTATTTCACTGATTCTATGTTATTGAATTTTATAAAATGTTAATGATTTTTCGTAATAAACTGACAATACTCTTTACTATTGCTATCAAACTTCCTTTGGTAGTCATAAAATTGATTGAGTTTTTTTTTTTTCCGAACACCATAATTTTCATTAACACTATACTTTTGCACATAGTCGTAATGTGCTAAAGGAGGGTCTCCAGGACCTAGAGTCAATCCAAGGATTACAGATTTTGGGTGGCAAGTCCATTACTTAGTATAACGTGTTTTAAGTTTTTTATTTTCTGAGTTTTCAATTTTCGGTGCCATGAAATGTAATATGCGCAAATCACCAAGATACTCCTTCGGGAAAATTGCGAAAACGGAGCTAGAAGATTTTGATCGAAAGTTCCCCTTATTGGCCTTGGGCAGGACTACGTGAGCCGACTCTCCAGCACCCCCGCTAAGAGGTGTATTTAACTGGAACACTGGCTTCCAGGCCTCCAGCCTAAATGCTAATTTTATGCAGCTCATTCTGCCCAGGCCTCTGGAGACGTGCTCGCTCCGGTAGATCTGCTGATGCCGCACATACGGAATGCAAGGAGCGTAGCTCCCCTGATGTACGCAGCTTAGCTTGTAACCTTTCTGAAATAACAGGCACCATACTCAGGTATATGATTCATTGATATATAACACATAATCAAACTATGTTGGCAAAATTATCTATATACCAGCATATCTGAAATTTAGAAAAGAAGGAAGATAAAGAAGCAACCAAAAAAAAAAATATTCCTACCAAAATTCCTGAATACATAAATAGAGAAAACTCACTTCAGTCCAAAAGTCACATTATTATAAATTAGCTGGTGTCTACTAGTAAATTCTTTGAAGAATTTTCGTATATATATTTTTTCAGATAAAAATTAACGATGTAAAATCATATTTTATCTCTGAAGATACCAAAAAATACAGAAGATACAGAAAATAAAGTATTTTAATTATTGAGACTAAAAAGGCCTTTTTTTCTACTGAAGAATATACTAAGAAAATTAAGAAAAACCCCCCAAAAAATTTTTATTCCTAGAAAAAATTTCTGAATATGTAACTGGAGAAAACTCACTTCAGACCATAAGTAACATTAAAAATAATTTTATTCATATACATAATAGATAACTTAACGAAAATTCATGTTCATAGTTCCTTATCGCAGCATCATAAAGGTAAGTTTATTTTTGAAGAAATCATTTAAAAGGAATTTTGAAGTGGGTGAACTATGTTCTGTTTGTTTTTTAAATCAATAATTTTTTCTCATTCATAAATCAACTACGTTACATCGTACTGTGTTGAATATTTCTTTATAATTTTAGAATCATTAAGTAAATCATTAACTCAATGATAGAATTCAACTTCTATTTGACTAGATCTTATAAACTAATTATAAAAATAAATAAACTGCATAATAGAGCTGTCTTAATTTCTCCTATATTTTAATACAATTCTAGAAGATATTATCAATGTTCAGACCTAAAGTTGATTAAAAAAAAAATTGTGAAGGTATTATCGCTCAAATAGTCGACCAGAGTTTGTTAATTGTATATATTTTCCAGTTTGAGCCAAATAAGTCATATCTTATTTTCTAATTTATGGAAAGAAAAACTTGCCTAGAGTCCGAAAATCCTCATGAAATTTCAAGCCATTTTAACTATGGGTATTTTTTTTATTGGAAGAATAATAATACAATTTGCCACAATCAAATGCATTGGATATTTATATGTACATTCATACTATTTTATACAAATTGAGAAAAAAAAAATAAGAACACATTCAAGTAAAAAATATATACAATACAATAATAACAAAAATATAAAATATTTGTAAAAGGAAAAGAAAAGAATACATTAAAAGGATAATAAAAATTCTTGTCACACTCATTATTATATGCAATAAACTATAATTATTGGTACTAAATTATCAATTTATATTTTACCCATATTTAGGTTAGTATTCTCAATAACAACACAAGATAAAATTATTATTTAAAATATAGGATTAAATTAGTATAAATAAGCATTAAACTCGATTATTTCAAAACTATAACTAGTTAACTCATCATGGGATAGTACCCAATACAGATCACAACGTTTGATTATGATAAAGCTATGTTACAAACATACATTAAGTTCTTTAAAGTGCATTGCATTGCTTATTTTAATAATTAGTACCTTGACTTTTTGATTGTTTATAACTACCCGTTTTAATTTGTTTACCAATTATATGCCGAATCGAATTACACAAAGACTTCATGAAAAATTGTTGTTGAATTATCGATTGTTCTAATCTGTGGTTGGCCTAAAAGTATTTACGATAAGAAGAAGAATTCTAGACCCTTAAAAAACAATAGAAAAGATAAAATAAAGGATATTTATATTCGAACTCCTATCTCTAATATTCTGGTAGAGTGGACCTCTTCCGTGTTCAGTTAGTAAATAATAAATTATTTCTGTCTGCCCGTCGCCACGCAATACCGGTAGAGCATGAACCTACCAATTAGTGGATCATAACCACTGCAATTTAATACTTGTGTATGTTCCCACATGTGGGTGTAGCGACTGTTATTGTATCTCTACAATTGGTGGCAATGAACTGTTCTCGGTAACGATGAATGCACAAAACGTCTTTTTTTGTAACGAAACGTGGGAGCCCGTTTTGCTCATCGTAAGTGTTTCGTCATTCTGCACCACCTTGTCGGATAATCATCTTGTTAAGCTAGTTTTTATTTATGACGGTATTTTTTCAATATACTTCTCCAATGTGATTCATTTAAAGGTTGAAGTGAATATTAGTTAGTTACAATAGAGAAAAGTGAATGAACCTCTTCCACTTTATAATTTCACTAACTAAGATACAAATTTATTTTAATTTGTATTTTTTAACATAAATCGTATCTGTTAACTCTTTTTTCTGTAAATTTAACATTTAATATTTTAATTTTATTTTTCAACTTTTCTTCCTTTAATATTAATTTTTAGTTTTTAAATCGTATTTATAGCTTTTATTCTTGAAATCATTAACTTTTATTTGTATTGTATTTGTTAATTTATCTTTTTTTAATCTTTAATTTTTAATTTCAATGGTTTTTGTCAATTTTCTTCTTGTAATTTTTAATATTTAAACTTGCCCTTCAGTGTGGCAGACTGTATTAATACCATATAAAAAAAAAAATTTTTTTTTTTTATTTCTTAAAGACATTTACAACTGTTTTAAATAAATACATCTAGTAAATTAGAACATAATGTATATAATGACATGAAAAATACTTGTTGAGTAACTGCCCAATGGTAGCACTCTAATGATATGTTTACATTAGGAGATCACGGGGCCATCTTCTTTTCAGACGCCTCGGAGGGTTATCAGGAATCGAAGAGGAAGCAATGTTAGAAACGAGAGGGTTGGGATGATTCTGAAGTTTATTATGGAAGGATACGTATCTGGATTGGGCCAGATCTGAAACAAAAGGAACATTAAGGTTATTATGGATGGTTTTATTTGTAACAAAGTAGGGAGCATTGAGGATTTTACGAAGGATTTTGGATTGTAAGGATTGGATACGAGAGGAATTCGATAGTTTAGTGGAACCCCATAGCTCAACTCCGTAAGTCCAAATAGGCCTTATTATAGTCAAGTATATGAGTTTTTTTGTAATTAATTGGAAGATTAGAACGTTTGTCTAGTAAGTGCTGAAGTAATCGGAAACGTCGAGCGGTTTCTTGTTGTGTCAGTCTAATATGAGGATTCCAAGTTAGTCGTTTGTCCAGGTGGAGTCCTAGGTATCGGATTTGCTCAACAGGGGTAAGTGGAGTATTCTTAAAGGAAACTGTAGGACAGGAAGTTGTTGGTTTACGACGAAGGGTAAAGGTAATATGGTGGGATTTATTGGAGTTTATTTTAATTCTCCAGTTTTGACACCATTCTTCTAGATTTATGATGTGTGATTGAAGCATTTGGGATGCAATTGCTGGGTCATTATTTACTGATAGGATACATGTGTCATCGGCATGTGTGGTGATGACAGTGTTGGAATAGGTAGGGATGTCAGCTGTATAAACTGTGTAAAGGATAGGGCCTAGGACACTACCTTGAGGAACACCAGTGGACTGGGAAAAAAACATTTAAACTGTTCTCTTTAACTTTTCTTCGTTTCATATTATTTTTATTTTTTTAAACGTATTTTTAGCTTTTATTATTGAAATGTTTAACCTTTTTTTTAATTGTCTTTGTTAACTTAACTTCTTTTAATCTTCAACTATAAATTTTTATGTAATTTAATTCAATCGTACCATAATATTCAACTGTAACTATTTTTAACATCCTGAAGTTTAAATTGTATTTGTTAGCTGTAGTTTTGTTATGTATGCCAACGTAGTAGCTGATCCAATTGTAATATAGAGAGAATATGACCCAAGTAGTTGAAAAGCCCAAAAAATATATAGATAAATATGTAGAAAGATATGTCTTCAATCTGACAATATCGTCTTGGTTGTTAAGTAAAAATGTAAACGTTACATGTAAATATTTAAAAAGGAAGGAGATGGTCCGGGGTGGCGGGAAATAGGATAAATAGTGGCAAAACTATTTTATTAAAAGCCCTTTGGCTAAAGGGCTAGATTTTTAAATTTATATATTTTTATAGAGCTAGATTTTTAATACTATTTATAGATTTTTAAAGGGCTAGATTTATAGATTTCTATTTTTAAGCTATTTTAGCTTTTAATAAAGTAGTGTTACTACTTAGCCTATTTATGACCGCCACCCCGGACCATCTCCTTCCTTTATAATGCAACGGTCAACTATTAAATATGCAATGTAAATATTTAAAAATTAATTTCTTAAATCTTGAGTAATAAAAACTATACAAATACATATTCCTACTATTAAAAATCTGTAGACATTTGTTCTTTCTGTAAATGAGGAAGATTTATCAGGAGGAGAAATAAATTTTGTTTATATGATGGGGCTTTGGGAAGCTACATTCTGTGAAACCAGGGAAGGTAACACGAAAGCTAGAGGATTTTTTCATAAGTAGTAGTCCAATTAAAAGGGATGTGTAAATATGTAGTTTGAGATATTACATATAAGTGATGAATGGAAGAACGAGGATATCGAAAATATATTAAGGTTTGTCATAGAAAGGCACTGTGAGGTTGTTGTAAAAAATTAGGACAAATACTAACTTTATCAAAATAACAGTAACATGCGAGAATGCTTCAGGCGTGTCCAAAAGCGGTATGCAAGGAACAAGTTTCGCTATCAAAATTTTTACTGGGTTAAGAATCGTAGGAAAGAGCAATATTTTTTTAATGAGGTTCAATTGAGAAGAACTTCACCAACGAAAAAAATCAAAGGGAAACAACTAACCTAGGAGGAAAACAAAGAAAACAAATAAAAAAGGGAACCTATGTCCTCTTGTCCTACAGTATCCTTTAATAATACCCCACTTATCCCTGTTGAACAAATTCGATACCTTCGACTCCACATAGACAAACGTCTAACTTGGAATCCTCAAACCAGACTGAAACGACAAGAAACAGCTCGACGTTTCCGACTACTCCAGCACTTACTAGACAAACGCTCTAAGCTCCCAATCACTCACAAAAGACTCATATACGTGACTACAATAAGACCTATTTGGACTTACGGAATTGAGCTCTGGGGCTCCACTAAGCCATTGAATTCCTCTCGTATCCAATCCTTACAATCCAAAATCCTTCGTAAAATCCTCACAGCTCCTTCCTTTGTCACAAACAAAATCATACATAACGACCTTAATGTACCTTATGTTTCTGACCTGGCCCAATCCATTCTGGCCCAATCTGACCTATCCTTCCATAACAAACTGCAGAACCATCCTAATCCTCTCGTTTCTAACCTTGCTTCCTTTTCGATCCCTGACAATCCTCCGAGGCGTCTGAAAAGAAGATGGCCTCGAGATCTGCTTTTGTAAATATATTTTTAGAGTGACAAGTGATTTCATGCTATTATATTCTTTTGTTCACATTTACTGAATGAATTTTTAATTGTAATACAGATGTAAATATCATCAATAAGAAAAAAAAGGGAAACTTTTATTTATTATTAGTTTTTGTAAGAAAAAGAGAGAAACCATTTTTTCCTGTTCGGAATATTTCTTCTCATTTATAGTTATGACATTTAGCATGTCACTAAGCGCATGACAAATAGGCAACTTGCTGAAATATGAGAATATAAATCTCCATTGCTTTTGGAAGAGTTTGAGGGGGACCTGATAAAATTTTCTCCCCGAGCGCCTACAACCCACGCCATGTTCTTCAAAAGTGAAAAATATTTCTAAATTTTGAATAAAAAAGTTCACTTTACACATCCTCTCCTACTACTAATAAAAAATAACAGCAGTTACAGGAGATATGGGACATAGTGCTCACTGACAAATAGGTTCGTTCAGACCGGAGAGACTTTCCATCCATCATTGAGAATCTATTTCTGTCAACTGAGTTATAAATTAAGTTTAATTGACAGTTGACGCGGAGGGTCTAAGAGATATAACTCCTCGAGTTATCTGCTGGAATAATGAGACACACTATCGCAGAATCCAGACTCCGAGAATTTTCTCAAAGACGAACGTTAACTTTGAGATAGTTATATGCGGTGCTATTTCACCATTAATTGAAATTTCCTATATTTTTTTTTCATTTCTTCAGATAAATATATAAAGCATCCTTTTGTTTTATTATCGAAACTTGTCTCGTAATAATAAAATACAGCCATGTTATGCGAATCGATTGTGATGTAAAAAAAAAAAAAGAAATTTTCAATGAAACACATAAAAAAATATTATAGCTTTGAAGGATTTATATTCTTAGTATTTATTATTTCGCAATGTTTTAGTTGGTTTATTTTATACTGTATATTGTCCAGGTCAATAACGAACAGCTTTTTATCAATTGCACGTTCATTTCAAACAATTCTTTTTTTTTTAATATTATTTAATGCTCCATCTATTATTTATCAACACGCCAGAGTATGGAATTCCATGCATTAATATATTGTCGGTATATTGAAAAAATTAACTAACATAAGTACATTTCTAATTCATCTATTTTTTAAGCAAGTTTTTTAATTCGATCTTTTTTATCGATGTAAAAATATAGAAAGCGCACACAAATCTTTTATATAGAGTGTCCCGTAAATAGAGCTACCTTACTAGGAGTAGCTAGCAAACCTCAATAGCTACAAAAAAAGTTCATATAAACAATGGGGCCATTTTCTGCAGAAAAGTAGCAAATCCAAGTTTTTTTTAAAGTGATTTATGTTTTTTATTGAATCTAAAGCGATAACTAAAGAAATATTTAATTTAGATAATTATTAATTGATTCTTTAAAAAACAAAATAAAAATTTAATTTCAATTCATTGTCTATCAATTTAACATAAGGATCTATGTTCACATAGAGTTTATCATTGTTAAAACCATTTACACACGACTTTTGAGCGGCTAAACTAAGCTAAGATCTGTTATAAAAAAAAAAATCATAAATTATTCGCGATTTTTTTTATCACCATCC